GATGGGTAGGTGGGTGGGTGGATAGGTGGATGGATGACGTGTTGATGGGTAGGTGGGGGGATGGGGGGATGGGAGGATGATGGATGGCTGGGTAGGAGGGTGCTGTGGAGTACTGAAGCTGCTCCAGGGGTAACCTGGAAACGCGGCACATGCCTGGTGGCGGTGGCCCCAATACAGACTTGTGCTGGGCTGGAGAGGAGAATATGGGGCGGTGGGCCCTTGCCTCCTGTGCCCCCATTACCTTCTGCATCTGGCGGAGGCTCTCCTGCTGCTCCTGCTCCAGAGTCTGTACTTCCTGCTCCAGGGTCTGCACTTCCTGCTCCAGGGTCTCCCTGGTGGCCGCACTTGTAGCCAGTAGCTCCCTCTCCTGCTGCAGCCTGTGAACAGCCAACTTCTTCTCCTCTGCCAGGGAGAGAATGAGGGCCTCCTATGGAGACAAAGGACAGGTGGCCAGGTCAGGCCAGGAGACCAGCAGGCACTGTGGTCCTGTGGGAGGCCCAAGGCCCTGCAGACCAGGGCTGGACAACCTGGCCAGCTGCCCTCCCCTTGTCTCCAAGACCCCAAATGAGCAGGGAAGACTCTTCAGGTCTCGACGCCACTGTCACACGTTCTTCCAACAGTTCCTGCGCCTCACCTGAACCCTACCCAGTGCCACTGATGGACACAGGCATAAAGTCCTGTCAAACCCAGCCTCTGGGGCCGCGGACGGCTCAGGTGGAACAAGGTTTCCTCCAGCTCCCGGCTGACCGGTGGGCCCAGCCCCTTCTGCAGAGGGAGCTGGCTCTGCACACCCACCTGCTCCAGCCCAGGAGCTCACTGGGCGGGCTGGTGCCACTGCTTGAACGTGATGGTGAGCCACCCAGGTTCCACCCCAGGGAGCATGTGACAAACACCCAGGATGTGGACAGTCCCAAGGTCCCTGGGAGGCAGACCTTCTCCCTCTGGAGCCGTGCCAGGTCCTCTTGGTGGGCCAGTGCCTGGCTCTCCAGGGCCAGCTGCAGATCCTGCTCCTGCTGCATCACCCGCCACTGCAGCCGCCCTACCTCCCGTTGCAGCTTTGCCTCCTGGACCGTCCAGTCCCTGTTCAGTCTGTCCATTTCCACTGCAAAGCCACAAGTGTGTCAGGCCCACCTGGTGCAGAGCCCACGAAGACGCCCCTGCTCCACCTGCGGCCAGCACATGGCCGGGTGGCCAAGCAGAGGCTCAGTCATAGGGAGTGGGCAGGAGGCTACACCCAGTTCTGAGCCTCAGGCTACTCCAGTGCAGGCCAGACAGGCTGGTGGCCTCCTCCGTGTGGCCCCTGAGTTACAAGAGCTCCAGGCCCCATTTGTGCCCCCTGGGCCCGGGGTGTGTGGGCAGTACACCTGGGGATGGATGTGTGCTCCCTGGGGCACCTTGTAAGGCCTGCTGCTCCAGCCGGGCACTCTGGGCCTCTCCCTCCAGCTGTTCCTGCTGGACATGCAGCTGCTTGGCCCGTTGCTGGGCTTCAAAGAGGCTGCTCTCCAGAGAGTCCCTCTCCAGCCTGCAGAGAAGCATCGGGCACATCACCCAGGAGCTCCTGCCAATGAGGAGTGGCTCTGAGCCGAGGCCAGGCCAGCAGATCAGCAGAACAGGGCTCCTTCGTTCCAAATTTCTAAGAATGAATTGGACCCTAACAAAACTGTTTCAGGTGGAATAAAAAGTCAAATGCAGAAACAAAGAACATTTACTAAGTCATAGCAAAACAACTCAGAACCAAAAAAAAATGGTAGGAAAAAACCTAAAGGGTACTTTGTATTCTTCTTAAGCAAGACCTGAAAACCAGAAGGGAAAGAAAGTCCAGCAGATCTGAAGAGAGGGACGGGGAGTATTCCTGTAGAAAAGAGTTCATAAATCAACTTAAAAGACGAGGAACAGATTGGAAGAAAATCTGCACTAAATGTATAAAGGATTAGCATCCATCACATGCAAAGAACTCCTACCAATCAACGAAAATCTGCCGTTCCTATTTAAAAAATGAGAAAAAATGACTGTTAAACACAAAGAAAATACAAATGGCTAAAAATAGGAAACTTGCTAGACCTCACAAATGCCAGGGAATTTAAACCACAGTCAGTGTTATTGATCACTTATCTGATTAGCAAAAGCTTAACAGTGACAACACTGCGTGTTGGCAAGGCCAGGGGACTCTAACGCGCGTCACGTGGGCTGTAGTTCCACTCACAGGGCTGTTTTACAGAAATACAGAGGTACTGACCACACACATGACCGTGCTCACTGGGGAAATGGGAGTCTGAGAAGTCACATGTCCTGACTCTGGCCACGGTGCAGCTGTCAACAAGGGCAACAAGACAAGCTTCTATTCTCTCCTGGCAAAGAGTCACCCCCAGCCACCCGCCACACTGGAACTTCACACGCAGTGTGATGGCGTGTGCTCGGCCTATGCACACAGATTGCATGGATGCACATGCTCAGAACACAAGAAAGCCTGAGTTATGGGCATTTCATCAGTACCAACACGCCCCTCCACATGCCGTGTGCATTTATGGTGAAAACACAACCAAACAACACACACAAACGCTCAAAGCACACAATCCGAAAGTGCCCAGACCCCACAGCTGGTGCACACAGGCAAAGCTCTTCCCGTCCGCCTCAACCTGCTCCTCCGTGACTTGCACCTGGCTTCTACCAGGAGTGTGGCCTGCGAGTCTGCCCCAGGAGCAGAGGCCCCACATGCCACAGGGTGGAGTGGCCAGGGCCAGCGGCCTGGGGAGCAGGTGGGAACCTGTCCATTCCCCTCGGTACAGCAGACCTGTGCGTCTGTGGGGTCCTCAGAGCCAGGGGCTGCCGCAGGATGATCTGAAGCTCACCAGCGCGGCAGCCCAGAGCCAGCAGAGAAGCAGAGGGAGGGGGCAGATGTGCTCTGGTGGAATCCCCACTGGGCTCGTGGCTTTCTGGGCTGAGGGGCTGCTGTGTGCAGTGGCCCTGGGTTCAGTGGTCAGGGCTGAGAGCAGGGGCCGTGGGACAAGGTCCTGGCCAGGGTGGTGTTTGGGGAACACACATTCCCAGGGCCAAGGAGCCCGCGAGGGCAGGCCTAGGGCCTGTGCTCCCGCCGACTCTGGGCGGCCTTCCCAGGTGTCTGCTCCTGCATTTGCAGGAGAGGTGTTTCCATGAAGAGGTTTGAGGACCTGAGACTAAGGTTTCTCACACCTCCCAGATGCTGGACCCCAGGAGGAAATCTTCTAGACACTTAGGTGTCCCCAAGAAGAGCTCGGTGGTGGGGAAGGCCCAGCCGGCCCTGGGTCATTGAATCAACATGACCAGGCTTACTAGGAGACAGGACCCATGACAAGGCACAGGCCTTGGAACCAGTTCAGGCCACAGCCTATGGCACCACCGACCCTGCCCACAAGTGCCCTTTTCAACTTCTGGACATTTCTCTTGACTTTGGTCTTTGGGGCTCCCCTTGACTCTTAGCCTTGTGCCTCCTGGGGTGCAGGATGGGCTTTAGACCCCACCCTGCACTCTGAGCCCTGTGGCTCCAGCTCCCAGGCCGCTGCAGGGCTGCCCAGAGGTTCAAGACGGCTGGCGGCAGCTCCTCAGGGACTGTGGGGAGGAAGGCCCTGGTGATGGCTGACCTTCTTTTGCCCTCTCCAGCTGAGCCCACCTAGCACTGAGGGAGGAAGGAGCAGGTCCTGGGGACTGTGGGCTTGCCTGAGCAGCCTTGTCTGAAGCAAGACATTCCACGTCTTCCTGCCACTGGCCTGAGCCAGCTCTCTGCTACTTGCCACCTGTCTTCGGAAAGGTGACCCCAGGACTATCCCTGGGTGTGCCTTGTACAGAGACGCTGTGTGTCACCCCAAGGCATCTTTCCCTCCCTCAAAGCCCACCCTCCACACACACAGCAGACCTCCCTGTGCCTCCCACCACTGCCCACCACCCTGCAGGTCTCCAAGGTCAGGGCCATGGGACACGCTCTGACCGGCGGCTCACGGGCACCTGAGGTCAGATGCTTCCTCAGCTGAGAGCTGCCCCTGCCTCTCCAGGGCCTCCTGCTGGGCCAGCAGCCGGACTCGCTCCTCAGTCAGAGCAGCCTTGGCCTTCAGGGCTTGCTGCAGAGTGTCCGTCTGGGTGTCCCGGTCCTGCAGGCACTGTGCCAGCTGCTTCTCCAAGGCCTGTTTTCTGCATGTGACCTGGGGGAGGGGGACAGTGTGGCAGAGAAAGAGAGTAGGTGGGTGGGTGGGGGGCTGCTGAGGGAAAGGAGACGTTCTCAGACTGGCCCAGAGGCGAACGTGGAGGTCGTGGGTAGACGTGGACGTGTCGAACCTCAGGATGCACACGCACCTTTCAGAACAGAGGGGAGCTCGACTCCCCAAACCACAACAGAGATGCTGTTAAGCTGGGCTCTTCCAGTGAGGACCAGCCGCCACACTCCATTGGGCCACGAGTTTCTAGGGGGCAGGACACGTGGTCTGGACGGGTCAGGAGCAGTAACAGAGGAAGAGTGGTGCCGGCCAGCGGTTCCACAAGGGAATCAAGAGGTTAAGACAGAGTGTGTCCCAGGAGAGAGCAGGTGCCAAGGAGCCAAGATCCTGAAGAGAAGGGAAGCAGGAATGGGCCCACCATGTGCCGTCTCTTCTCTGTTCAAACCATTTGCTGATTTAAAGTCCAGCTGAGAAACTGACTTGCCAGGGGACTAGCCTCACGTCATCTCCACAGACTCAAAGAAAGCACTGAGCAGAATTTAGAGCTCCTATTGATTTTTAAAAACCTCAGCCTACAGGAATGAGAGGCTATTCCCAATCTGATAAAAGGCATCTATAAAAGGCATATAAATAGCATCATAGCTGATATTAGAATATCGTATCATTCCTTCATGACTGAGTTTAGTGGAAGGATGATCACTCACCACTTCCATTCAACTTTGTTCCGCAGGTCATATTGATAAGAGAAGAAAAAGAAAAGATATTGAAGAAGGAAGTACAGTTGTTCCTCAAAGGTGCACCAATGAGTAATTTGTCAGATTCCAATTCTGGCAAAGCAATGACAAGAAAATAAAGTACTCATGAGCATAAATGCAAAAATCTGTACTTATAAAATGATAGTAGATAAATGAATTTGTCACGGTCACATGTTTAAAGTCAATACGTGACATTCTATCCCTATATATTAATAGTGAACAATAGGAAAATGCAATTGACCAGCAATGCAATTTACAATGTCAAATCTTGAAGTTAATCTAATAAAAAGGCCTCTATGCTTAAAACTATAAAACATGGCTGCAATAAATAAAATGTAGACATGATTCTCCTTGATCATGGGTATACTATATTCACGGATAAAAGACTCAGTGTAGTCAAGATTTGTCATCTCCTCAAATTGACCTACAAACTCAACCAAATCCTATTCAAAGTCCTAACAGGCTTTTTTATAGGGGGGGTATGAATTGCCAAGAGGATTCTAAAATACAGATGACTGCAAAGAATTCAGAAACAGATTGAAAAAGGAAAGCAAGTCAGGAATACACATACTACATGATGTTAAGAGTTTCTATGACCAGACAGGAGTTTTGGTGAAAGAATGAGGAGGTAGATTTATGTGCCAAGTCCCACGTGTACAATTTATTTTCAGCAAGTTGCCAAGATGATTCAAGGATGAAGGAGAGTTTCTTTAAAAAATGGTGGTGGAACAGCTGGATATTAGTATGAAAAATAAGGGGCCTTCGTGCAGTGGTTCTTGAACTTGGTGTGCAACAGAATCACCCGGGAGGGGGGCTAATCAAATTTCAGATTTCTGGATCCTCTTCATGGAGCTTCTGAGTCAGTGGGTCTTGGGTGGGGCATGAGAATTTGCATTTTAAAAGTCCCCAGAAGGTGCTTATACTGCTTCAATTCACTTGGGAAACCACACAAATAACTGGAAATGAAGCAAAGACCTCAACTGAAGTCAGATAAGCCTAGGAGGCTATCTTCTTGTCCTTAGGCAAAAACCTCTTCAGAAAATACTGACTTGTGAACTGGGGATCTGTTCAGTGGTTGAGTGCTTGCCTAGTGTGCCTGGGGCCCTGAATTCAATTCCCCGCACAGCAAAAAAAAAACCAAAAAACAAAAAACAAAAAACTTAGAATTAAAAATTTGCCAAAATTAAAATTTTATATCCATCAAAACTATTATTAAGAAAACATGGGCTGGGGCTGGGGCTCAGTGGGGCTGGGGCTGGGGCTCAGTGGCATGTGTGAAGCACTGGGTTCGATCCTCAGCACCACATAAAAATTAACAAATAAAATAAAGGCATTCTGTCTATCCACAACTACAAAAAAATTAGAAAAAAAAAAGAAGACATAAAAGTAAGACACCAACTTGGGCAAGAGTTGGCAGTGCATCTATCTCTCTGATGAAGTACTCGTGTCTGCGAGATAAGAAGAATTTCTAGATACATCCACAACCAAAATATGAGAACACAATCTTAAAATGGGCGGAGGACCTGAGCAGACATGGATACTCAGTGAGCACGTGAAACGCCAGTAGCTCACGGGCCAGTGTGAATCAAAAGCTCGGTCACGTGTGACTTCACAACAGAAGAGCTAAAGAGCACAACATCAGGTGCTGACAGACCAAGAAGGTGAAAGATCTTTGACAGATTCTAAGAAGCAGATTTGGAAACTCCAGTTGCAGCAGAGTCGCGGGGGACGGGACTCAAGGCTGGAGAGCGGCCCCTCTTCCACGAGGGACTGTGGCAGGTGCTGGATTTCAGTTGTGAACAGGGACTTGGAATGGGAAGGGAGGCCTCAATGCTGAGCACCGTGGTGGCACTCTGGTGGCACTCAGAGGACCAGGATAAGGTGAAGACACCCCAAACCCAGCCAGGAAAGGCCTCAGCAGCATGCCTGAGTGCGTCCGTGCCTCTGCGGTCCCCGAAGCTGCCGCGGGAGTGGTTTAGTCAGCTGTTGGCTGCTGTGACCAGAGACCCAACAAGAACAATTCTAGAAGGGGAGGAGTTGATTTTGGAGCCTGCTTTCAGAGGTCTCTGTCCGTAGATGGCAACTTGTTGGCTCTGTGCCCAGGAAGACGCAGCGCGTCATGGCGGAAGGGAGTGGAGGGGGAAGGCAGCTGGGGACTGGCTGGCTGGCAGGAAGCAGGGAGAGCACTGCACTCACCAGGAACAACACACAGACCCAAAGCCACAGTCCTGGGACCCACCTCGTCCAGCCACACCCCACCTGCTTCTGGCCACCACCCAGTCAGTCCCACGAGTGGACCAATCCCCTGATTAGGTCACCACTCTCCTTCTGGAGTCACTTCCAAGTGTCCTTGTATCACCTCACACATGAGCTTTGGGGACACCCCTTATCTAACTCAGAACAGGAGCCTACACTTTCCTGTGTCTGGGAACCAGCAGCAAAAGTCCGACCCTGACCCAGCAGGTACTGGCCTTGAGGACCGCCTGGCTAGGGGAGAAATCTGAGACAGCTGCTCAGAGCTCCGGGCAGGGGAAGCCAAGCTACGAACAAAAGTTGCTTTGCAATATGTCGAGTCAGCTTTTTCACTGCTGTGACGGACGGACGGGCCAGGACCACTGTAGAGAAGAAAGTTATGGAGGGCTCACGGTTTCAGAGGCCGGCTCCATTCCTCAGGGCTTGAGACGGGGCTGAACCTCATGGTGAATGTGTGGCAGAAGGAGGCGGCTCACATCATGGTGATCAAAAAGCAGAGAGAGACTCCACTGGCCAGAGACAAGTCTACACCCCACAGCCACGCCCCATGCCCACCTCCTCCAGCCACAGCCCAGCTGCCCCAGTCACCACGCAGGTGACCCTCAGGTGGCTGATTCACTGACTGGGTCAAGGCTCTCACAGCCCAGCACTTCTCCTCGGAACCTCCCTGCCGGTCTCCCACACGAGCTTTGGGGGACACCATGACAAATCAGGACTGTCCACCCGGAACTCAGCCAGGGGAGGGAGAGGGCCTGGGTGGGGCCACATTCGGGGCGAGGGGTGGTGTGTCGTGGGTCGGCCACCGCCCCGCCCCGCTCGAGGGCCGAGTGGGCTCCAGTGCACCTCCTCTCTCTTCTTCTGCCCTTCTCCTTTATTTATTTTCTTCTCCTTGTAACATTGAACATTTAATTTCATTTTCTTCTTCCATCTCTTTCTTTCCTCTACAATTAAAAAATCTTTTTTTTTTGATATTTATTTTTTTAGGTGTAAGTGGACCCAATATCTCTATTTTCATGTGGTGCTGAGAATCGAACCCAGGGCCTCACATGTGCTAGGCAAGCGCTCTACCACGGAGCCACAGCCCCAGCCCAATTAAAAAATCTTTAAGTTCATCTTTTCTTTCTCTTTTTTCTTCCACTTTCTTGTTTCCCACTTTTTAATTTTTCCTTTTTTTTGTATTATTTTCTTCTTTTTAAAAAAATTGTGTGTGTGTGTGTGTGTGTGTGTATGTGTGTGTGATCTGTGTTACTGGGGATTGAATCAAGGCTTCGTGGATGCTGGGCAAGTATTCTACTGAGTTACTTTTCCAACTCATTTTACTTATATTTTGAGGCAGGGTCTCACCATGTTGTCCAGGCTGGCCTTGAACTTGTGATCCTCCTGCCTCAGCCTCCCAAGTCACTGTGGTCACAGGTGTGTGCCACCCCTGTGCCCAGGCTACTTAAAATTTTTTTCTTTATTAATCAGCGACTTTTCAGCTCATTCTGCATTATTTTGCCCTTTTCTGTTGTCACTGACGCTGCCGTGGTGGCTGTTTTTGTTACGACGACATTTCCATACCTGGCTTGTTTGGATCCAGCAGTCGTTCCTCTCACTCATGTTCTTCTTTCTCAGCAGATTGAGCCCAGTGCCTCCAGCATGCGGCAGGCATTTGGTGCTGACCTCCACCCCCAGCCCAGTTGAGAGAAACTGTCTCAGTCCAGCCATGACTCAGCCCCGCTCAAACCTGAGCGAATGATTTGTCTTAAACAGAAGGCGAGATAAGTCTCTGCCCCAGGTAAGCAGGGCTGGGGACGCCCCAAGTCCTCATCTTGGCCATTCACCCCGGAGCTACAGCAAAGAGGCACCACACCGTGAGGGACCGGAGCAGCAGTGGCTCCCACACCCTTTCCGGCTGCACGAGTCTGGAGGAGTGACCAGAGAGTGACCTGATACACACCACTGTCTGCCTTCACCTGCCTCAACTTCCACAGGGTTCCCGCCTCGTGAGACACACAGGGTCACTTAGGTTCCAACAGAGCATGTGCTGTGTCAAAACTCACTGGTGACATCCCCCAAACCACGGGGAAACACTGGTCTCCATTTGGAATTGAGCTCAGCACTGTGCCCAGCCTGGCTCTCCTGGACGCGTGTCATTAGGAAGCCCTCACACAGAAACGGAACGAGGTTCCACCCAAGCAGATGCACGAATCTCAACACGGAGACACAAAGACTCTGAAAAAACCAGGCAACACGGCTTCTTGAAAAGCTAACGGCTCTAGAAGATCCACGGCTGACTCCAAAGATAGACGGTAAAGGGTTCAAAGGACTAATTTAAAAAACGACTGATGAGTTTAAAGAGAACGCAAATGAACAACTGAATGAATTCAGGAAGGCGATTCAGGACATGAAAACCGACTTAATAAAGAGTAGAGATTCTGAAAAAGAACAAAACAGAAATATCGGGAATGAGAAGCTCAGTAAGTCAAAGGAGAATTCAGTTAAATGCCCCACCACAGACCAGATCCAGCAGAAGGAACACCGGGGCTTGAAGAGACAGTTTGAATGAAAGAAGCCAGACCCAGAAAGACAAGTGTCACAGGTCTCTGTCACAGTGGACCTGGGGCTGGGGGAAAGACACCAAAATGTCAGGGACCAGGCACACTAGGCACACCTGTGACACCTGAGGCCCAGGCAGGGGCTCCTGGTTCAAAGTCAGCCTCAGCAGATCAGTGAGACTTGTTCTAAAATAAAGAATAAAAGGAAAGAGGAAAGTCCAGTGCTGACTCCCTGGCGCCACGGGGTCCACCAGGCCCTGCCACCTGTCCACAGCCCGGCCTCACCTGGTCCACCTGCTCCTGGAGCTGGGCCTTCTCACACCTGAGCTGGGTCACCTGCCCCTCCAGCTGTTCCTGCCGCTCCTCCAGGCGCCCGCAGGCCTCCTGCAGGCCCCTCCGCTCTGCCCGTGCGCAGGCCAGCTGCTCCTGGGCAGCCCCCTGCCGCTGCTCCAGGGCCTTGTGCTGCTCCCGCAGCTGGTCCCGCTCCTGCTCCAGCTGAGGGAAGAAGGAGGCGTCTGCACCAGCCCCACACCTCTCACCCTGGCCCCACGAGGCAGGGGCTCTGCCCAGGCCTGCCCCGGGCACTGCCCTTCCTCGCTCAGGCCCCTGTCCATCCCGTCATCTGCTCTCAGGGCGGGGCCTCGGTCGGGAAGGAAGAGGACCTGGGGGTGAATGAGCCGAGGCCCTGGAGCCGGGCCGCTCACCTGGAGCACCACGTGGCTCAGGGAGCCCTTGTCCCGGGCCAGCCCCTCCATCAGGGCCGCCATGGCGGCCAGGGACTCCCGCTGCTCCACCCCCTCCGACTTCAGCCGCGTCATGAGCCGTTCCAGGTCAGCGTGGCTGGACTCAGCCTGGGGGCAGTGGCCATCCAGAGGGATTTCAGGGAGGAACTGGAAGATCCCCGGCAGAGCCCCGGTGCTGGGAGAGCCTGCGCAGCTGTGGGGGCTGGGCCTGGGCGGGGCGTGGAGGAGGCAGAGAGTGGCCCCGACCCAGGCTCCAGCCGGAGGGGTGACCTGGCTCAGGGAGAAGCCTGGGAAGCAGGCGTCCCTGGTGGGGGGCGGCCGGGGACCCAGGTGGGCACGCAGAGGGTGGGGTGAGGCCTGGGAGAACCTGGCACTGAGGGGCATGGCCCGTACCCGGGCCAGGGCGCCGCGCAGGCCCTCCCGTTCGCTCTCCACGAGGTCCCGCTGCAGCTGCGCGGCACTCAGAGCCTCCCGGGCCACGGCCAGCTCCTTCCTGAGCCCAGAGACCTTCTCCTCCAGCTGCTGCAGGCGCCTCTGTCTGCGGTCGGGGGCAACGGGCCAGGCGTGAGGTGGCCCCAGGTGAGTGGGGACGCCCAGGAGACCACAGCAGGGCTACCGCCAGCAGCCCCTCCAAGCACAGAGCCCTGTGAGGAGCGTGGGGTTTCGGGGTCTCCCCAGGTGGCCTCAGGCACACGCCTGGGGGGTGGGCACTCACGGGGAGGACACCCACGTCTGCTGGCCCACAGGGGGATGCCCCAGGGGCCGACTCTGGGCTGAGGCAGCGGTCTGGGCTGGGCTGGGCGGGGAAGAGCCCTCTGCCCCTCACTTCCCTGCGGTGCAACAGGTAAGGCCACAGGCCCCCAGTGGACGGACTCTGAGGCCAGAGAGGGACGAGATGGCCCCAGGCCACACAGCTGGGCACAGAGCCGGTTCTCTCTGCCCACCTGGCCTCCAGCTCGCGATGGCTCTGCCTGTCCTGCTCCGCCCTCTGTAGGCTCCTCTGCAGCTCTGCCTCTCCCAGATCCGCCCTGGCCCTCAGCTCCTCCACCACGGCCTCCAAGGCCACCTTTTCCCTGGGTGCACAGGAGGAGGTCAGGGTGGCCCCAGGACCTCACTGGACACATTCAGTGTGTGCCCAGGAGGGTGGTCAGCGGGACATGGTGGACACGGGTCCCTGGAGGTCGCAGCAGGTGGAAAGGGCTCCAGGAGGCACAGGCAGGGTCAGGGCTAGGTCAGGGTCAGGGTCAGGGCTAGGGTCAGGGTCAGGGTCAGGGCTAGGGTCAGGGTCAGGGTCAGCCTGCGGGCAGGAAGGAGCCCCAGGCACGAGGGGCCTGAGTGGTGCACATGCTGAGACCCCTGCTGGCAGGACACCTCCCTGGCTGGCACACCCCGACCGCGGCTCTTCCCCAGGACCCAGGTCTCACCCCTGTGCCCTGCTGCACCCAGCTCCAGTCCGTCTGCCCTGTCCCCCCCGTCAGCTGCTCCTCCTCCACTCTGGCCCTCAGCATCCTCAAATGACCCTTGAACCGAGCCCTCCTCCCTGCCAAGGGGCAGTCAGGCCTGTCCACCTGACCCCAGCAGATGTCCCTCCCTCTGTCCCTGAGCACTGTGGCGACCCTTCCTCTGGGCCAGGCTCGCTGCCCGGCTCGCTCTCCTGAGCCACAGCTCTCTCACCCTGCACCCAGCCCAGCTCCCTGCTGGGAAGGACCTCTGCCCCGGCCTCATGCCCCTGCTTCACCTGGATCCCCACACCCTGGTGGGGCTGTGCCTCTGCCTGCCCTCTGTCACCTCCCCCTGTGCCTTGCAAGGTGGCACTGGGACTGCTGCCGTGTCCAGCCCTCCCTCAGGCCACCCAGCGGAGCTGCTGTGAAGGGTGCAGGGACGAGAGGGCATGGGCTGCATCTTTCTGCTCCTGGGGTGGCACCTCCTGCAGGAAGCCTTCCTGGCCTCAGCCGGCTTACCCAGGCCCTCACCGCCACAGCCCAGGCGGAGGCGTGTGGATGGCCACCCAGGGCCTCAGGTCCTGGGGGCAAGGGAAGGGCCTCCCAGAGGGGACCTGCGGCAGGCAGGCGGGAGACAGAGCCGCGCTGGGCCTGCTGGGCTGGGGCTGTGGTGCATGGAGGCTCAGCCTGTGGACAGAGGGCAGTCTGCACCGGGATCCCCTGTGTACAGTAGGACGGGACACAGGGCAGGGGTGACCTGGAGGTTCAGTCGGGAGGCTCGGCCTCCTGCATGCAGTGTGGGCTCTCAGAGCCAGCCCTGCTGCCCCCGCCATGCCCGCTTCCTGCCACCTTCCCAAGAGCTCTGCCGTCCTCTGGCCGTGCCTGGCCTCACGCCTCTGGGCCTCCAGCTTGCCCAGGAGGGCCTCGTGTTCCTGAGTCCTGCTCTGCAGGAGCCTCCGCGAGGCCCGAAGCTCCTGCTGGCACGTGGACAGCTGCTCCTGGAGTCCGGCCGTGGCCTCCTGGGAGGACTGTAGCTGCAGACGCAGCTCCTGCCGGACAGGCACCCTGTGAGCCGAGAGGCCCCGGGCTCCGACTCCCCCAGAAGGAACTAGAACCAGAGCCCTCCCTGGCCCCGTGGGGCCCGGGCTCACCAGGGCAGTGGAGGGGTGGCCTGAGCTGACCTCCCCAAGCTGAGGGAGACACGCGCAGCTCTGCCTCCGCTGCCCCGGGGACCACAGCCGCCCACCTGCTCCCGATGTCTCCTCCTCTCAAGGGCTGTCTGCACGGCCCGCAGTGCTGGGTCCAGGTGGGCTGGGGAGTGGGCCCGTGGGGAGGACGCAGCCTGACGGGGGGACGTGGCCCGTGGGGGGCTGCTCAGCTGGCTCCGCGCCTCCTGGCCATCAGTGCTGCTGCCCCCTGCCAGCTCCAGGCTCCAGGAGTCCCCCAGAGCCGCCTTAGGGTGCAGAGGGGAAGGGGCGGGAGACGCAGGCTGTGAGGAAGTGGGCCTCCCGCAGGCCCTGGGAGCAGGGGCCCTGCGGGTCGTCCGGCTGTACCACCAGGGCTCAGGATGGGCGCACCTCTGTGATGCTGGCCAGTACCCGCTGCAGGGATCCCACCTCGTCCCTCAGGGTGTCCAGGGCCAGCTGGCCCCCGTCCCTGTCGCGAGGGGACTCCTGCAGGGAGAGACCCTTAGCCAGGCAGACAGCTGGCCTCCAGCCCAGCTCCCATTTCCAGCCCACGAACCGGTCTCTGGCCGTCGGTCCTGCGGGAGTCCACGGTCCTTTCCCGTGACCCATTCTGCTGTGTGAGCTTGTCCACCAGCAGTGTCTGCTCCGAGAGTCTGGGGAGGAGCTGGGGGTAAGTGAGGGGCCTGGGGACGGCCTGGTTTTGTCCAGATTCCTGCTGCAGTGGGGCCTCCCTGTGGTGCCAGGGCCACGCCTCTGCTGATCTCATGCCTCTCCTGCTCTAGAACCTTCAATGGCTCCCATGGTCTCAGGAGTGAAGCACAGACCCTGAGCCAGCCTTCAAGGCCACACCCTGGCAAGCGGAGGAGATGTGGGTGTCCTTCCTGGCTCACCTGGCCTGCAGCTCCGCCTTCTCTGCATCCCAGCGGCCCTGCAGCTGCAGCGTCTCCCTGACCTGGTCTCGCAGCCGCTGCTCCAGGGCGCTGGTGGGGCTGCTGGCAGCCGGTCGCAGGTTGGAGTCGAGGCTGCAGCAGGCAGCGTGCAGACGCCGGGCTGTCCAGGCAGCCTGGGCCTGCATGTCCACAAGAGCCCTGGAGAAAAGGCCATGCCGTCGTCCTCAGGACCTGGGCAGGCTCTGGGCCAGGAGGTGTGCAGCCGGGTCACATGGCCGCTGGCCGTCCTGGGGGGGCCCACAACAGCAGGACAGCAAGCTCATAGCCAGGGCAGGGCCAGCAGGGCTGAGGCCATGAGAAGTACCTCGAGGGCCATCAGGGTGGCCTGGGAACTGGCCAGAGCCAGAAGCTCTGCAGTGGGAGTCCTCCTGCAGCCAGGCCACCTGCTCCCCTCCCCCTTATTCACCCTCCCCCACTTCCCCTTCCACCTGTCCAGCCAGGGCCCCGACAGGGTGCCCCTGTCCCCTGCTCAGGAGTGGCCTGGGCACAGATGCACTCACCTCTCCGTGGCCACCCGCAGCTGGGCCATGTGTCCCCTGAGCTCTGAGGCCTGTCTCCACAGGAGCAGGAGACGCCATGGCTGCCCAGGGCCCATCCGCTGGGTCTGCAAGCAAGAGGCCCATGTCCACTGCAGATGGGGGCCATTGGTCCCTGCTCACTACCCTCTAGGGGTCCTGCTAAGCTGACTCCGGGAGGCTGCAAGTGGGACTTGTATCACCTACCAGGTCCCAAGGTCCCCGTGTCCTACAGGCAAATAAGTTCTGAGCTCCCCACCCACCCTGGGGACAACGCTAGGTCCTGCGGAAGAGGAAGACGCCGTGTCCTCCCGGGGCATCCCAGGAAGGGGTCCAGGGGCGGGGGAGCAGGCCACTGCAGGGCTGTGTGCGCCCAGAGGTCCAGCCTCGCGGAGTGCAGTCCCACCACCTCTGCATCCTGCACTCTGCTGCCTCTGGCCAGGTGGCCGCTGGAACCCACAGGGTCCTCAGGCCCAGGGCTTTCCTGGTCTCATGGCCTGTCCTGCTGGTTCGGCCCACCCAGCACTCCTCAGCCAGCTCTCAGGAGGCCACGCCACCCCTGGCTGGACCCCGCATCTGAGCCTCTCCCCTGGCGAGCCCAGGACCCCTTCACACACCCTCAGTGCAGTGTGCCGGGCCACAGCGGGGAGCTCACTGGGCCAGGCACACCCCACCTCTGGAGTGACCATCCAGGGCGGGAAGAGACGTCTTCTCCGCACCACCCCACGGAGCCCAAGTCTGCAGACCCAGCCCCTCTCCCTGGGCAGGCTGGCCGGCCACAGTGGGAGCTATTGAGGGTTCTATAGCAGCAGAGGCGTGCCATCAGGCAGACCTGAGTTGACGGCTTCTCCTGGGTCCACCTCACGATGCTTGGTCTCCTTCTGTTTGGGGTGATTTTTAATTTTTTAACTCATTTTCTAGCTGCTTATTTCCCGTGGAACTTTGTGGTACCTCTTGGAGATCCAGGGTGAAGCCTCAGGCGGACCTAGTGGGGTCTGGAGCCAAGGAGGCAATTTCTTGCCAAACGGAGAAACTTGTTCCTTGACCCAAGGGCCCTGAGGCCCAGCCAAACCCAGGCACATCCTGCGCAGTGTCCCCAGTGCAGCAGGGCGGGTG